GGTTCATGGAAAATCCCCAAGAAGAACACTGGGTTGCAGTTAAGCGTATCTTTCGCGACCTACAAGGCACCAAGACGCATGGAATTTGCTACAAGCCAAGTGCAAGGATCGACTTCCGTGGATATTCGGATGCGGATTGGGCTGGTGATCTTACCGACCGCAAGTCAACATCGGGGTACACGTTCATGCTACTCGGTGCGCCAGTGAGTTGGGGCAGCAAGAAGCAGCCAAGTGTTTCGTTGTCCACGACTGAAGCTGAATACATCGCACTCAGCTTGGCAATTCAAGAGGGCAAGTGGATTCATCGTCTGCTTTGTGAGATCATGATGACTGCCAATGAAGAAGGACCGGAACTCATGATCCATGAAGACAATCAGTCGTGTATCAAGATGACGAAGAACCCGGTCAACCACGGCCGTGCCAAGCACATTGACATAAAGTATCATCACATCCGTGATGAGGTCAAGCGCGGTGAAGTGAAGCTCAAGTATTGTGAAACTGTGGTGATGTTAGCGGACATCATGACGAAGGGACTTCATGGACCACGCCACAAGGAGATGACGATGGCTCTCGGGATTCGTGAGCATTCGGATTGAGGGGGCGTGTTGACGGTCATCGGTTTTCTACCAGTATTGGTAACCGTGACCGATCCAATCCGAACCGCCTGTTCAGCTTAGTATTTACGACGTAGTTCTTACGGTAATTACCATAGTTGATTAGACGCGTAGGATGATGAGACGCTTCACATGATTTATATGTACACCACATATAAATCATGTAGTAAGTAGTAAGCCCCGATAATCAATCACTTTCGAATCTTCCAACTATTGGGCAAGTGTTTTCTGCTCTACTCTCTTCGGTCTCTCCGCTCCGTTCGCTCCGCTTTCCTCGCTCCGATCTACAATGCAACAAGTGGGTCTTCAAGATCAAGCGCAAAGCGGACGGATCAATTGACAAGTACAAGGCACGCCTTGTGGCAAAGGGTTTCAATCAACAATATGGGATGGATTACACGGAAACATTCTCGCCCGTCGTCAAGTACGTGACGCTGCGCATGGTGATTGCAGTCGCAAAGTATTTCGGATGGACTATCGACCAACTCGACGTGGTGACGGCATTCCTGTATGGTGTCATGAAGGAACAAGTGTTCTGCGTCATCCCTGAAGGCGTGGAATTGGAGGACTCCTTCGATTGTCTCGAGTTGGTGAAGGCAATCTACGGACTCAAGCAAGCGTCGCGCGTATGGAACGAAACATTTGACGAGTTCGTATGTGCTATTGGATTTCAAGCGTCAAGCCTCGACCCGTGTCTCTACATAAGGATCGTGGAAGGGCAATGCGTGCTGCTGCTGGTGTATGTGGATGACGTGTTGATCACCGGTAGCTCATGCGAGCTAATTGCACGCACCAAGACCGACCTGAAGACGCGATTCGAGATGACTGACAGCGGCAAGTGTGCATTTGTGCTCGGAATCGAGCGTTTGGACGGCGCAGATAGAAGTGTTACACTATGCCAGCGTCGGTATGTAGATGACATACTCAAGCGCTTTGGCATGGATGATTGCAAGGCCGTCGCAAGTCCAGTCGACATGAGCTCTCGACTTGTTTCAAGTGATGCAGCCACCAAGGTCGATGCTCCTTTTCGCGAAGCTGTTGGTGCGTTGATGCACCTGACCACTGCAACGCGCCCGGACATTGCGTTCGCCGTGGGCTATGTGTCGCGATTCATGGAGAACCCCCAAGAAGAACACTGGGTTGCGGCCAAGCGCATCTTCCGCTACCTACAAGGCACCAAGATGCACGGAATCTGCTACAAGCCAAATGCGAAGATCGACTTTCGTGGCTACTCGGATGCAGACTGGGCCGGCGACCTCGCTGATCGCAAGTCGACGTCTGGCTACGTCTTCATGCTGTTGGGTGCACCAGTGAGTTGGGGAAGCAAGAAACAGCCAAGTGTTTCGTTGTCCACGAGTGAAGCCGAATACATCGCACTCAGCTTGGCAATTCAAGAGGGCAAGTGGATTCATCGTCTGCTTTGTGAGATCATGATGACTGCCAATGAAGAAGGACCGGAACTCATGATCCATGAAGACAATCAGTCGTGTATCAAGATGACGAAGAACCCGGTCAACCACGGCCGTGCCAAGCACATTGACATAAAGTATCATCACATCCGTGATGAGGTCAAGCGCGGTGAAGTGAAGCTCAAGTATTGCGAGACTTCCGTGATGTTAGCGGACATCATGACGAAGGGACTTCACGGGCCACGCCACAAGGAGATGACGACGGCTCTCGGGATTCGTGCGTGTTCGCATTGAGGGGGCGTGTTGACGGTCATCGGTTTCCTACCAGTGTTGGTAACCGTGACCGGTCCAATCCGAACCGCCTGTTCAGCTTAGTATTTACGACGTAGTTCTTACGGTAATTACCATAGTTGATTAGAAGCGTAGGATGATGAGACGCTTCACATGATTTATATGTGCACCACATATAAATCATGTAGTAAGTAGTAAGCCCCGATAATTATTGAGGGTTACCGGTACAATCCGAACCTAGCGCGTAGTTCTTACGAGATAGTTTTTACATCGGTAATTACCTCAGAGATGATTAGACGCGTAGGATGATTGGACGCGTGTAAATCAGGTTGATTAGATGCACCATGTGATTGGATGCAGTCTAGGGTAGGCAGAAGTTAAGACCTATAAATCAATCACTTTCGAATCCTCCCTCAAGTGAGCAAGTGTTCTCTGCTTCATTCTCTCCGGTCTCTCCGCTTCGTTTTCTCTTCGCCTCGCGCTCAAGTTATAACAGGTTATGAGCCCAAGCGCCATGTCGTCCAACAACACCTCGGCCAGTGTCTCCATCGATAAGTTCGATGGGGACAACTACTCAACCTGGTGTCGCTACATGCGCGGCGTGTTTCTGACGAAGTCAGTCTGGTACGTCGTGAACCGCGAAACGTCTCCAACCTTCACCGACACGCGAGCTTCCGACGAGTACGTCAAGGCGAGCAACATCGCGTTCGGGTTGATGTTGCTCCACATGGACGCCGACTACCACCATGTGGTCGACAACTGTGAAGAAGCATGGACAGCGTGGTCGCGGTTGAAGATGCTCTATGGTGGGTCGCAGAAGGCGGGACGCATCTACCTCAAGCGCCAGCTGTTCAGCATCAAGATGACGGAAGGTGCCAACGTCTTGCACCATTGCAACGAAGTCTTGAACATCGGCGCCAAGCTCAGCAGCATCGGTGCCAAGATGGAAGACGAAGACATTGCGATCTGCTTGCTGCTCAGTCTCCCGAAGAGTTTCGAGAACGTGGTTCTGAACTTGGAGATGAGCAATGCAGAGCTGCGCACGCAAGATGTGGTCAAGGTGCTGACTAACGAGCACATCAAGCGACAAGGCGAGAAGATGACAACGGCAACGACAACGTTGAAGACTGAAGATGCGACAAAGGCATTCAGTACCGAGCGCAAGCCCTACCAATGCACATACTGCGGCAAGGTGGGGCACACGGCAGAGCGTTGCTGGACGAAGCAAAAGGATGAAAGTCGAGGAGCCCAACGCGGCGGCAATGGTCGTCGACGCGGGGCAAACAATGTCCACTGGCGACATTATGATGAAGGCAACAGCTACGATCGAGTGGCGTTTGCAGTTTCGTTCGAATGCGGAGTTTCGACGAACAAGAATGGACCAGGAATGTGGGCCGTTGACAGCGGGGCAACACATCACATCTGCCACGACAAGTTCAAGTTTGCAAGCTTGGTCGAAGGCAATGATGGCGAGATCCTGGTGGCTGATGGCAACAAGGCGGCCATCAAAGGTGTGGGGACCATCGTGGAAAAGGTGATTCTGCCAAACGGGGAAGAGCGCGAGATCGAGATCAAGAACGCGCTCTATGTGCCCAGCATGAGCAAAAATCTGCTCTCGGTGCCGCAGATTAACAAGCACGGCAACTTCCAAGTGGTGTTTGACGGGGATACGATGTACGTCGCTCGCAAGGATTCCAATCAAGTGGTGGCAGCTGCGGATCTTGTAGACGGACTCTACTGGCTTCGCACGACGCAGCGATCGGCCAATACGACATCACTCAGCAACGCTGTTGATCTACATGCGCGAATGGGCCATGCTCCAGTCGACGTGCTTCGCAGGATGGTGACAAGCCACATGATCAAGGACGCCCACATCCCTTCCAAGCCGAATGGATCAAGTGTGTGTCGAGGATGCCAAGAAGGGAAGATGGTCCAAAAACCATTCCCGAGCAACCGTGACAAGCGCACCTACAACACCTTCGAGATGCTCCACTTCGACATCTGCGGACCCATGGAAGAAAAATCTCTGGGTGGCAGCAAGTATCTGCTGCTGATCGTGGATGAAGCCAGCGGATGCATGAAGGGTTTTTGTCTGCATTCCAAGTCAGAGAGCGAAGAGTGCATCAAGAAGTACATCACGATGATACAGACGCAGTTCAACAAGAAGGTCAAAGTTGTGCGACACGATGGAGCCCGCGAGTTTGCGACGAACTCGCTTCAAGATTTCTACGAAGTCGAAGGCATCGAGCAACAAACCACGGTGCCATACGCACATCAAGCCAATGGAACTGCTGAACGCGCGATTCGAACTATCGTCACCATCGGTCGTAGCATGCTCCATCATGCCAAGTTGGACAAGTGCTTCTGGGCTGAAGCGGCAATGACGGCCGTCTATGTGAAGAACCGTTTGCCGTCACCCAAGATTCCACACAAGACACCGTTCGAGATTGTCTACAATTCTAAGCCAAGTGTCAAGCACATGCGCGTTTTGGGTGCCAAGCATACATCTTGACCCCGAAGGAGAAACGACTCAAGTGGGACCCCAAGGCCCGGGCTGGATTGTTTTTGGGCTACGAAGAAGTGTCCAAGGCGTATCGAGTTTATGACATCGAAGCGGGGCAGGTGATGATAAGTCGCGATGTCAACTTCGATGAGTCGGCCTTTGGAATGTCGATGCTGATTTCCGATGACGATGTTGATGGCCTGGACTTCGAATCGATCGATCTTGATGATGAAGAACCGCGTCCGAGACACTTCAAACAAACAGGAAAGCGCAAGGCCCAACCCAGTCACGACAATGACGACGCAAGCATGCCCCGAGCAGTGCGCCAACGACCCGGATTGGAAGAGTCAAGTGCGCCGGATGACATCTCTTCACGTCGAGCCAACGAAGATGAAGAAAGGAAGTCGGAGGAACAACATGACACACCGACTTCCTCCGCGTTTTGGCATGCGAGTGCAAACGCCGTCGAAGCAGCGGTCGATTTTTTCGGAGCCGTCGACATTTGAAGAAGCAGTGTCTGGCCCGGACCAAGTACACTGGCGCAAGGCAATTGATGCGGAGCTCGATTCGATGAAGCTTCGCGGTGTCTTTCGTGCGGCCAAGTTACCCAACGGACAAAGCGCCATTGGCACAAAGTGGGTCTTCAAGATCAAGCGCACGGCAGATGGGTCGATCGAGAAATACAAGGCACGACTTGTGGCCAAGGGTTTTCGCCAAAAGTATGGCATCGACTACACGGAGACGTTCTCGCCCGTGGTCAAGTATGTGACGCTGCGAATGGTCATCGCCATTACCAAGCACTTTGGATGGCCCCTCGACCAGCTCGATGTGGTGACTGCGTTCCTGTATGGAGTGATGAAGGAGAAGGTGTTCTGCGCTGTTCCGGAAGGCGTCAAGATGGAAGGTGATTTTGACTGTCTCGAGCTGATCAAGGCGATCTACGGTCTCAAGCAAGCCTCGCGTGTTTGGAACGAGACCTTCGACGAGTTCATACGCTCGATTGGTTTTCAAGCGTCGGGATTCGATCCATGTCTCTACATCATGACTTCGGAAGGCCATTGTGTTTTTGTGCTGGTCTACGTGGACGATGTCTTGGTGACTGGAAGCTCGCTCGAGATGATTGCGCGCACCAAGAACGACCTCAAGACACGCTTCGAGATGACGGACAGCGGCAAGTGTGCCTTTGTTCTTGGGATCGAGTTATTGGACGGTGAAGATGGCAGCGTGACTATGTGTCAGCGCCGTTATGTCGACGATGTCCTCAAGCGCTTTGGAATGGATGAGTGCAAGGCTGTGGCAAGTCCGGTGGACGTCAGCTCTCGACTGGTTCCGAGCAACTCTGCAAGCAAGATGGATGTCCCATTCCGTGAAGCAGTGGGTGCTTTGATGCATCTGACGACTGCAACGCGACCGGACATCGCCTATGCTGTAAGCTTTGTGTCACGGTTCATGGAGAAACCCCAAGAAGAACACTGGGTTGCAGTCAAGCGCATCTTCCGCTACCTACAAGGCACCAAGATGCATGGAATCTGCTACAAGCCAAGTGCGAAGATCGACTTTCGTGGCTATTCAGATGCAGACTGGGCCGGTGACCTTGCTGATAGCAAATCGACGTCCGGCTACGTCTTCATGCTATTGGGTGCTCCAGTGAGTTGGGGCAGCAAGAAACAGCCAAGTGTGTCACTGTCTACAAGCGAAGCGGAGTCCACCCCCCCCCCCCCGGGGCGCCAGAAAAGAAAAGGGGCAAAATCGCTTGCTGTGCGAAATCATGGGGGCTGCAAACGAAGAAGGACCCGAGCTCGTCATCCGTGAAGACAACCAGTCGTGCATCAATATGACGAAGAATCCGGTCAACCACGGCCGCGCTAAACACATCGACATCAAGTACCATCACATCCGTGATGAAGTCAAGCGCGGCGAAGTGAAGCTTGAATACTGCGAGACGACGTTGATGTTGGCGGACATCATGACGAAGGGACTTCACGGACCGCGTCACAAGGACTTGACGGCGGCGCTTGGCATCCGTGCGTGTTCGGATTGAGGGGGCGTATTGAGGGTTACCGGTACAATCCGAACCTAGCGCGTAGTTCTTACGAGATAGTTTTTACATCGGTAATTACCTCAGAGATGATTAGACGCGTAGGATGATTGGACGCGTGTAAATCAGGTTGATTAGATGCATCATGTGATTGGATGCAGTCTAGGGTAGGCAGAAGTTAAGACCTATAAATCAATCACTTTCGAATCCTCCCTCAAGTGAGCAAGTGTTCTCTGCTTCATTCTCTCCGGTCTCTCCGCTTCGTTTTCTCTTCGCCTCGCGCTCAAGTTATAACAATAATCAATCACTTTCGAATTCTCCTTCTGCCGAGCAAGTCTTCTCTGCTCCGCTCCTCAAGCCTCTTCGCTCTCTCCGGTCTCTTCCGGTCTTCTCGTCACTCCCGCGCCATATCATCAACAGAACTCAAGTCGATGCATCTTCGTGGAGTTTTCCGTGCGGCAAAACTACCAAGAGGCCAAGGCGCGATCGGCACCAAGTGGGTGTTCAAGATCAAGCGCAAAGCGGATGGATCGGTCGAGAAATACAAGGCGCGTCTCGTTGCCAAGGGCTTCAAGCAGAAGTACGGCATCGACTACACAGAGACGTTCTCGCCCGTGGTCAAGTACGTGACACTGCGTATGGTGATCGCGATCACCAAGTATTTCGACTGGCCACTGGACCAACTCGATGTGGTGACAGCCTTTCTCTACGGAGTGATGAAGGAGAAGGTGTACTGCGTGATACCAGAAGGCGTCGAGATGGATGGCGACTTCGACTGTCTCGAGTTGGTGAAGGCGATCTACGGTCTCAAGCAAGCTTCACGTGTGTGGAACGAGACTTTCGACGAGTTCGTATGCTCTATCGGTTTCGAAGCGTCGGCGTTCGACCCATGTCTCTACATCAAGGTTGTCGACGGTCACTGTGTGCTCGTGCTGGTCTACGTGGATGACGTGTTGGTCACCGGCAGCTCGCTCGAGTTGATTGCGCAGACGAAGGCCGACCTCAAGACGCGTTTCGAGATGACCGACAGTGGTAAGTGTACTTTTGTACTGGGCATCGAACTGTGGACGAATCGGATGGCAGCGTGACGATGTGCCAGCGACGGTATGTCAACGACATCCTCAAGCGCTTCGGCATGGATGAGTGCAAGGCCACAGCAAGTCCGGTCGATTTGAGCACTCGGCTTGTCGCAAGCACCGAAGCGGCCAAGATCGACGTTCCGTTTCGTGAAGCTGTGGGAGCTTTGATGCACTTGACGACTGCGACGCGCCCGGACATTGCGTATGCTGTGGGGTACGTCTCGCGCTTCATGGAGAATCCGCAGCAAGAACATTGGACGGCGGTGAAGCGCATCTTTCGTTACTTGCAAGGGACCAAGTCGCACGGACTCCGCTTCCAGCCAAGCGACAAGATCGACTTTCGTGGCTACTCGGACGCGGACTGGGCCGGCGACCACACTGATCGCAAGTCGACTTCGGGTTACACTTTCATGCTGATGGGTGCTCCTGTGAGTTGGGGAAGCAAGAAGCAGTCAAGTGTGTCGCTGTCGACGAGTGAAGCGGAATACATCGCACTGAGTCTGGCCATCCAGGAAGGCAAGTGGGTGCATCGCCTGCTATGCGAGATTTTGGCGGCCGCAAACGAACCAGGACCGGACCTCGTCATCCGTGAAAACAACCAGTCGTGCATCAAGATGACGAAGAATCCGGTGAATCATGGCCGCGCCAAGCACATCGACATCAAGTACCATCACATCCGTGATGAGGTCAAGCGCGGTGAAGTGCAGCTCGAGTATTGCGAGACTTCCGTGATGATGGCGGACATCATGACCAATGGACTTTCGGAACCTCGCCACAAGGACTTGACGACGGCTCTCGGCATTCGTGCGAGTTCGGATTGAGGAGGCGTGTTGACGGTCATCGGTTTCCTACCAGTATTGGTAACCGTGACCGGTCCAATCCGAACCGCCTGTTCAGCTTCGTATTTACGACGTAGTTCTTACGGTAATTACCATAGTTGATTGGACGCGTAGGATGATGACACGCTTCACATGATTTATATGTGCACCACATATAAATCATGTAGTAAGTAGTAAGCCCCGATAATCAATCACTTTCCAATCTTCCATCTACCCCCAAGTGTCTTCTCCGGTCTTCCGAGTGGACTCCCAGCATCACTCCCAGTTTCGGTCGTCAAGCTTCACACCTTTCAACAGGTTATGAGCCCAAGCACAATGGCCTCTGCTCATGATGCCACCACCAAGATCTCCATTGACAAGTTCGACGGCGACAACTACGCGACATGGAGCCGCTACATGCGTGGCGTGTTCCTGACCAAGTCGGCGTGGCACGTGGTCAACCGCGAGACGTCGCCGACGTTTGTGGACCCGCGCGCCATGGAGGACTACGTCAAGTCCAGCAACGTCGCTTTCGGACTGATGTTGCTGCACATGGACGCAGACTACCATCACATCGTCGATGAATGTGAAGAGGCGTGGGTCGCGTGGGCGCGTTTGAAGACACTGTACGGCGGATCTCAGAAGGCTGGGCACATCTGCTTGAAGCGCCAGCTCTTCAGTATGGAGATGACAGAGCGGCAATGTGTTGCATCATTGCAATGAGGTCCTCAACATCAGCGCGAAGCTGGCTAGCATCGGTCCCAAGATGAAGGACGGGGACGTTGCGATCTGCTTACTGCGCAGTCTGCCCAAGACTTTTGAGAACGTAGTTCTCAACTTGGAGATGAACAGCGCAGAGCTTCGATCGCGGGACGTCGTGAAAGTTCTCACAAACGAGCATATCAAGCGGCAAGGTGACAAGACGACATCGGTGAAGACTGAAGACGCGGCGAAGGCGTTCAGTACCGAGCGTGAACCTCGCCAGTGTACATACTGCGGAAAATTGGGGCACACGGCGGAGAGGTGCTGGACCAAGCAGAAGGAAGACAATCGGGGAGCTCGACGCGGCGGCAACAATGCTCGTGGACGCGGAGCCAACAACGTTCAGTGGCGAACCAACAGCAACTACGACGACAACTACGATCGAGTTGCGTTCGCGGTTTCGCTGGAGGCTTGACTTTCGACGGGCAAGAATATGCCAGGGATGTGGGCAGTCGACAGCGGTGCGACGCATCACATCTGCAACGACAAGGCCAAGTTTGCAAGCCTGAATGAGCGAGAGGAAGGCGAACTATCAGTGGCTGATGGCAGCAAGGCTGCGATCAAGGGTGTGGGAACCATCATGGAACGGGTGGTTCTGCCCAATGGTGACGAACGCGACATCGAGATCAAGGACGCACTGTCCGTACCAAGTATGAGCAAGAATCTGCTTTCGGTGCCACAGATCAACAAGGGTGGCAGGTTCCAAGTCGTGTTCGATGGATCCAAGATGCAAGTGAAGCACAAGAAATCCACACAAGTCGTGGCAACAGCGGATCTCGTCGATGGACTTTACTGGCTGCGGACTCCTCAACGATCGGCAAATGCAGCAACACGCAATAGGACTATCGACTTGCATGCGCGCATGGGTCATGCACCCCTCGAAGTTCTGCGCAAGATGGTGGCCACTGGCATGATCAAGGACGCCAAGGCACCTCTCAACTCGACTAGTCCAAGTCTGTGTCGCGGTTGCCAGCAAGGAAAGATGGTCCAAAAACCATTCCCAACCAACCGTGACAAACGCCAATATGGTGTGTTCGAGTTGCTGCACTTCGACATCTGCGGGCCAATGGAACAAGTCTCGATCGGCGGCAGCAAATACTTACTGCTTGTGGTTGACGAAGCTAGCGGTTGCATGAAGGGCTTCTGTCTGCGGTCCAAGTCTGAGAGTGAAGACTGTATCAAGAACCACATTATCAAGATTCAAACTCAGTTCGGCACGAAGATCAAGTTTGTTCGGCACGATGGAGCGCATGAGTTTGCGACCAACTCAATCAAGAACTTCTAAGAAGATCATGGTATCGAACAACAGATCACGGTGCCGTATGCACACCAGACCAACGGCACCGCAGAACGCGCGATATGGACCATCGTCACGATTGGACGCAGCTTGTTGCATCATGCAAAGCTGGAGAAGTGTTTCTGGGCTGAAGCGGCAATGACGGCGATCTACATCAAGAACCGCCTGCCTTCACCCAAGATCGACCACAAGACTCCGTTCGAAATCGTGTACAAGTCGAAACCAAGTGTCAAGCACATGCGCGTGTTTGGATGTCGAGCGTTTATCCTGACACCAAGGGAGAAGCGATTGAAGTGGGACCCGAAGGCTCGTGAAGGGATTTTCATGGGCTACGAAGAAGCGTCAAAAGCTTATCGAGTGTACGACATTGAGGCGGGCCAAGTGGCGATCAGTCGTGACATCACCTTCGACGAATCGACTTTTGACTTTTCGATGGACCGACCAAGTGACGATGATGAAGATGCGGAGTTGGACCTCGACCTCCTGGCGATCAACGAGGACGACGTGCGTCAAACCGTCTACAAGCAGACTGGCAAGCGCAAGAGTGAAGCAAGACCCGGCATGTCACGTTCAGCTCGCCCTCGAACTGGGTTGGAACAAGCAAGTGCGCCGGAACACGTCTCCAACCGTCACCAGAAACGACGATCAAGTGCTCCAGAAACGATGTCTGATGACGAAGAAGATGCAAGCTGTTGACGGTCATCGGGTTCTACCAGTATTGGTAACCGTGACCGGTCCAATCCGAACCGCCTGTTCAGCTTAGTATTTACGACGTAGTTCTTACGGTAATTACCATAGTTGATTAGACGCGTAGGATGATGAGACGCTTCACATGATTTATATGTGCACCACATATAAATCATGTAGTAAGTAGTAAGCCCCGATAATCAATCACTTTCCAATCTTCCATCTACCCCCCAAGTGTCTTCTCCGGTCTTCCGAGTGGACTCCCAGCATCACTCCCAGTTTTGGTCGTCAAGCTTTTCACCAATCAACAGGTTATGAGCCCAAGCACGATGTCCTATGCTCATGATGCCACCACCAAGATCTCCATTGACAAGTTCGACGGCGACAACTACGCGACGTGGAGCCGCTACATGCGTGGCGTGTTCCTGACCAAGTCGGCGTGGCACGTGGTGAACCGGGATACCACCCCCACCTTCGCCGATCCTCGCGCCAGTGACGACTACGTCAAGACGAACAACATTGCGTTCGGCTTGATGCTGCTGCACATGAGCGCAGATTATCATCACGTGGTTGATGACTGTGAAGAGGCGTGGGTCGCGTGGGCGCGTTTGAAGACGCTGTACGGCGGGTCGCAGAAGGCTGGACGCATCTACTTGAAGCGCCAGCTGTTCAGCATGGAGATGGCGGAAGGCGGCAATGTGATGCATCATTGCAACGAAGTCCTCAACATCAGCGCGAAGCTCAGCAGCATCGGCGCCAAGATGGAGGACGAGGACGTGGCGATCTGCTTGTTGCGCAGCCTCCCCAAGAGCTACGAGAACGTCGTTCTCAACTTGGAGATGAGCAGCGCGGAACTGCGATCGCGAGACGTCGTGAGAGTGCTCACGAATGAGCACATCAAGAGGCAAGGTGACAAGACGACATCTGTGAAGACTGAAGACGCAACGAAGGCGTTCCGTACCGAGCGTGAGCCTTGCCAATGTACATACTGCGGAAAATTGGGGCACACGGCGGAGCGGTGCTGGACCAAGCAGAAGGACGAAAATCAAGGTGGAGCTCGACGCGGCGGCAACAATGCTCGTGGACGCGGAGCCAACAACGTTCAGTGGCGAACCAACAGCAACTACGACGACAACTACGATCGAGTTGCGTTCGCGGTTTCGCTGGAGGCTGGACTTTCGACGGGCAAGAATATGCCAGGGATGTGGGCAGTCGACAGCGGTGCGACGCATCACATCTGCAAGACAAAGCCAAGTTTGCAAGCCTGAATGAGCGAGAGGAAGGCGAACTATCAGTGGCTGATGGTAGCAAGGCTGCAATCAAGGGTGTGGGAACTATCATCGAGCGAGTGATTATTCCCAATGGCGACGAATGCGACATCGAGATCAAGGACGCACTGTTCGTACCAAGTATGAGCAAGAATCTGCTTTCGGTGCCACAGATCAACAAGGGTGGCAGGTTCCAAGTCGTGTTCGATGGATCCAAGATGCAAGTGAAGCGCAATAATTCCACACAAGTCGTGGCAACAGCGGATCTCGTCGATGGACTTTACTGGCTGCGGACTCCTCAACGATCGGCAAATGCAGCAACACGCAATGGGACTATCGACTTGCATGCGCGCATGGGTCATGCACCCCTCGAAGTTCTGCGCAAGATGGTGGCCACTGGCATGATCAAGGACGCCAAGGCACCTCTCAACTCGACTAGTCCAAGTCTGTGTCGCGGTTGCCAGCAAGGAAAGATGGTCCAAAAACCATTCCCAACCAACCGTGACAAACGCCAATATGGTGTGTTCGAGTTGCTGCACTTCGACATCTGCGGGCCAATGGAACAAGTCTCGATCGGCGGCAGCAAATACTTACTGCTTGTGGTTGACGAAGCTAGCGGTTGCATGAAGGGCTTCTGTCTGCGGTCCAAGTCTGAGAGTGAAGACTGTATCAAGAACCACATCATCAAGATTCAAACTCAGTTCGGCACGAAGATCAAGTTTGTTCGGCACGATGGAGCGCATGAGTTTGCGACCAACTCCATCAAGACCTTCTACGAAGATCATGGTATCGAACAACAGGTCACGGTGCCGTATACACACCAGACCAACGGCACCGCAGAACGCGCGATAAGGACCATCGTCACGATAGGACGCAGCTTGTTGCATCATGCAAAGCTGGAGAAGTGTTTCTGGGCTGAAGCGGCAATGACGGCGATCTACATCAAGAACCGCCTGCCTTCACCCAAGATCGACCACAAGACTCCGTTCGAAATCGTGTACAAGTCGAAACCAAGTGTCAAGCACATGCGCGTGTTTGGATGTCGGGCGTTTATCCTGACACCAAGGGAGAAGCGATTGAAGTGGGACCCGAAGGCTCGTGAAGGGATGTTCATGGGCTACGAAGAAGCGTCAAAAGCTTATCGAGTGTACGACATTGAGGCGGACCAAGTGGTGATCAGTCGTGACATCACCTTCGACGAATCGACTTTTGATTTTTCGATGGACCGACCAAGTGACGATGATGAAGATGCGGAGTTGGACCTCGACCTCCTGGCGATCAACGAGGACGACGTGCGTCAAACCGTCTACAAGCAGACTGGCAAGCGCAAGAGTGAAGCAAGACCCGGCATGTCACGTTCAGCTCGCCCTCGAACTGGGTTGGAACAAGCAAGTGCGCCGGAACACGTCTCCAACCGTCACCAGAAACGACGATCAAGTGCTCCAGAAACGATGTCTGATGACGAAGAAGATGCAAGCTGTTGACGGTCATCGGTTTCTACCAGTATTGGTAACCGTGACCGATCCAATCCGAACCGCCTGTTCAGCTTAGTATTTACGACGTAGTTCTTACGGTAATTACCATAGTTGATTAGACGCGTAGGATGATGAGACGCTTCACATGATTTATATGTGCACCACATATAAATCATGTAGTAAGTAGTAAGCCCCGATAATCAATCACTTTCCAATCTTCCATCTACCCCCCAAGTGTCTTCTCCGGTCTTCCGAGTGGACTCCCAGCATCACTCCCAGTTTTGGTCGTCAAGCTTTTCACCAATCAACAGGTTATGAGCCCAAGCACGATGTCCTATGCTCATGATGCCACCACCAAGATCTCCATTGACAAGTTCGACGGCGACAACTACGCGACGTGGAGCCGCTACATGCGTGGCGTGTTCCTGACCAAGTCGGCGTGGCACGTGGTGAACCGGGATACCACCCCCACCTTCGCCGATCCTCGCGCCAGTGACGACTACGTCAAGACGAACAACATTGCGTTCGGCTTGATGCTTCTGCACATGAGCGCGGATTATCATCACGTGGTTGATGACTGTGAAGAGGCGTGGGTCGCGTGGGCGCGTTGAAGACGCTGTACGGCGGGTCGCAGAAGGCTGGACGCATCTACTTGAAGCGCCAGCTGTTCAGCATGGAGATGGCGGAAGGCGGCAATGTGATGCATCATTGCAACGAAGTCCTCAACATCAGCGCGAATCTCAGCAGCATCGGCGCCAAGATGGAGAATGAGGACGTTGCGATCTGCTTACTGCGCAGTCTGCCCAAGATTTCGAGAACGGGGTTCTCAACTTGGAGATGAACAGCGCGGAACTGCGATCGCGAGACGTCGTGAGAGTGCTCACGAATGAGCACATCAAGAGGCAAGGTGACAAGACGACATCGGTGAAGACTGAAGACGCGGCCAAGGCGTTCAGTACCGAGCGTGAACCCCACCAATGCACGTACTGCGGAAAATTGGGGCACACGGCGGAGAGGTGCTGGACCAAGCAGAAGGACGAAAATCAAGGTGGAGCTCGACGCGGCGGCAACAATGCTCGTGGACGCGGAGCCAACAACGTTCAGTGGCGAACCAACAGCAACTACGACGACAACTACGATTGAGTTGCGTTCGCGGTTTCGCTGGAGGCTGGACTTTCGACGGGCAAGAATATGCCAGGGATGTGGGCAGTCGACAGCGGTGCGACGCATCACATCTGCAAGACAAAGCCAAGTTTGCAAGCCTGAATGAGCGAGAGGAAGGCGAACTATCAGTGGCTGATGGCAGCAAGGCTGCGATCAAGGGTGTGGGAACCATCATGGAACGGGTGGTTCTGCCCAATGGTGACGAACGCGACATCGAGATCAAGGACGCACTGTTCGTACCAAGTATGAGCAAGAATCTGCTTTCGGTGCCACAGATCAACAAGGGTGGCAGGTTCCAAGTCGTGTTCGATGGATCCAAGATGCAAGTGAAGCGCAAGAAATCCACACAAGTCGTGGCAACAGCGGATCTCGTCGATGGACTTTACTGGCTGCGGACTCCTCAACGATCGGCAAATGCAGCAACACGCAATGGGACTATCGACTTGCATGCGCGCATGGGTCATGCACCTCTCGAAGTTCTGCGCAAGATGGTGGCCACTGGCATGATCAAGGACGCCAAGGCACCTCTCAACTCGACTAGTCCAAGTCTGTGTCGCGGTTGCCAGCAAGGAAAGATGGTCCAAAAACCATTCCCAACCAACCGTGACAAACGCCAATATGGTGTGTTCGAGTTGCTGCACTTCGACATCTGCGGGCCAATGGAACAAGTCTCGATCGGCGGCAGCAAATACTTACTGCTTGTGGTTGACGAAGCTAGCGGTTGCATGAAGGGCTTCTGTCTGCGGTCCAAGTCTGAGAGTGAAGACTGTGTCAAGAACCACATCATCAAGATTCAAACTCAGTTCGGCACGAAGATCAAGTTTGTTCGGCACGATGGAGCGCATGAGTTTGCGACCAACTCCATCAAGACCTTCTACGAAGATCATGGTATCGAACAACAGATCACCGTGCCGTATGCACACCAGACCAACGGCACCGCAGAACGCGCGATAAGGACCATCGTCACGATCGGACGCAGCTTGTTGCATCATGCAAAACTGGAGAAGTGTTTCTGGGCTGAAGCGGCAATGACGGCGATCTACATCAAGAACCGCCTGCCTTCACCCAAGATCGACCACAAGACTCCGTTCGAAATCGTGTACAAGTCGAAACCAAGTGTCAAGCACATGCGCGTGTTTGGATGTCGGGCGTTTATCCTGACACCAAGGGAGAAGCGATTGAAGTGGGACCCGAAGGCTCGTGAAGGGATGTTCATGGGCTACGAAGAAGCGTCAAAAGCTTATCGAGTGTACGACATTGAGGCGGACCAAGTGGTGATCAGTCGTGACATCACCTTCGACGAATCGACTTTTGATTTTTCGATGGACCGACCAAGTGACGATGATGAAGATGCGGAGTTGGACCTCGACCTCCTGGCGATCAACGAGGACGACTTGCGTCAAACCGTCTACAAGCAGACTGGCAAGCGCAAGAGTGAAGCAAGACCCGGCATGTCACGTTCAGCTCGCCCTCGAACTGGGTTGGAACAAGCAAGTGCGCCGGAACACGTCTCCAACCGTCACCAGAAACGACGATCAAGTGCTCCAGAAACGATGTCTGATGACGAAGAAGATGCAAGCTGTTGACGGTCATCGGTTTCTACCAGTATTGGTAACCGTGACCGATCCAATCCGAACCGCCTGTTCAGCTTAGTATTTACGACGTATTTCTTACGGTAATTACCATAGTTGATTAGACGCGTAGGATGATGAGACGCTTCACATGATTTATATGTGCACCACATATAAATCATGTAGTAAGTAGTAAGCCCCGATAATCAATCACTTTCCAATCTTCCATCTACCCCCAAGTGTCTTCTCCGGTCTTCCGAGTGGACTCCCAGCATCACTCCCAGTTTCGGTCGTCAAGCTTTTCACCAATCAACAGGTTATGAGCCCAAGCACGATGTCCTATGCTCATGATGCCACCACCAAGATCTCCATTGACAAGTTCGACGGCGACAACTACGCGACGTGGAGCCGCTACATGCGTGGCGTGTTCCTGACCAAGTCGGCGTGGCACGTGGTGAACCGGTATACCACCCCCACCTTCGCCGATCCTCGCGCCAGTGACGACTACGTCAAGACGAACAACATTGCGTTCGGCTTGATGCTTCTGCACATGAGCGCGGATTATCATCACGTGGTTGATGACTGTGAAGAGGCGTGGGTCGCGTGAACGCGTTTGAAGACGCTGTAAGGCGGGTCGCAGAAGGCTGGACGCATCTACTTGAAGCGCCAGCTGTTCAGTATGGAGATGGCGGAAGGCGGCAATGTGATCCATCATTGCAACGAAGTCCTCAACATCAGCGCGAAGCTCAGCAGCATCGGCGCCAAGATGGAGGACGAGGACGTGGCGATCTGCTTGTTGCGCAGCCTCCCCAAGAGCTACGAGAACGTCGTTCTCAACTTGGAGATGAGCAGCGCGGAACTGCGATCGCGAGACGTCGTGAGAGTGCTCACGAATGAGCACATCAAGAGGCAAGGTGACAAGACGACATCTGTGAAGACTAAAGACGCAACGAAGGCGTTCAGTACCGAGCGTGAACCTCGCCAATGTACATACTGCGGAAAATTGGGGCACACGGCGGAGCGGTGCTGGACCAAGCAGAAGGACGAAAATCAAGGTGGAGCTCGACGCGGCGGCAACAATGCTCGTGGACGCGGAGCCAACAACGTTCAGTGGCGAACCAACAGCAACTACGACGACAACTACGATCGAGTTGCGTTCGCGGTTTCGCTGGAGGCTGGACTTTCGACGGGCAAGAATATGCCAGGGATGTGGGCAGTCGACAGCGGTGCGACGCATCACATCTGCAACGACAAGGCCAAGTTTGCAAGTCTGAATGAGCGAGAGGAAGGCGAACTATCAGTGGCTGATGGCAGCAAGGCTGCGATCAAGGGTGTGGGAACCATCATGGAACGGGTGGTTCTGCCCAATGGTGACGAACGCGACATCGAGATCAAGGACGCACTGTTCGTACCAAGTATGAGCAAGAATCTGCTTTCGGTGCCACAGATCAACAAGGGTGGCAGGTTCCAAGTCGTGTTCGATGGATCCAAGATGCAAGTGAAGCGCAAGAAATCCACACAAGTCGTGGCAACAGCGGATCTCGTCGATGGACTTTACTGGCTGCGGACTCCTCAACGATCGGCAAATGCAGCAACACGCAATGGGACTATCGACTTGCATGCGCGCATGGGTCATGCACCCCTCGAAGTTCTGCGCAAGATGGTGGCCACTGGCATGATCAAGGACGCCAAGGCACCTCTCAACTCGACTAGTCCAAGTCTGTGTCGCGGTTGCCAGCAAGGAAAAATGGTCCAAAACCCATTCCCAAGCAATCGTGACAAACGCCAATATGGTGTGTTCGAGTTGCTGCACTTCGACATCTGCGGGCCAATGGAACAAGTCTCGATCGGCGGCAGCAGATACTTACTGCTTGTGGTTGACGAAGCTAGCGGTTGCATGAAGGGCTTCTGTCTGCGGTCCAAGTCTGAGAGTGAAGACTGTATCAAGAACCACATCATCAAGATTAAAACTCAGTTCGGCACGAAGATCAAGTTTGTTCGGCACGATGGAGCGCATGAGTTTGCGACCAACTCCATCAAGACCTTCTACGAAGATCATGGTATCGAACAACAGATCACGGTGCCGTATGCACACCAGACCAACGGCACCGCAGAACGCGCGATATGGACCATCGTCACGATTGGACGCAGCTTGTTGCATCATGCAAAGCTGGAGAAGTGTTTCTGGGCTGAAGCGGCAATGACGGCGATCTACATCAAGAACCGCCTGCCTTCACCCAAGATCGACCACAAGACTCCGTTCGAAATCGTGTACAAGTCGAAACCAAGTGTCAAGCACATGCGCGTGTTTGGATGTCGGGCGTTTATCCTGACACCAAGGGAGAAGCGATTGAAGTGGGACCCGAAGGCTCGTGAAGGGATGTTCATGGGCTACGAAGAAGCGTCAAAAGCTTATCGAGTGTACGACATTGAGGCGGACCAAGTGGTGATCAGTCGTGACATCACCTTCGACGAATCGACTTTTGATTTTTCGATGGACCGACCAAGTGACGATGATGAAGATGCGGAGTTGGACCTCGACCTCCTGGCGATCAACGAGGACGACGTGCGTCAAACCGTCTACAAGCAGACTGGCAAGCGCAAGAGTGAAGCAAGACCCGGCATGTCACGTTCAGCTCGCCCTCGAACTGGGTTGGAACAAGCAAGTGCGCCGGCACACGTCTCCAACCGTCACCAGAAACGACGATCAAGTGCTCCAGAAACGATGTCTGATGACGAAGAAGATGCAAGCGTCTACGATCAAGATGACGACTCGACGCCTCCAACATTTTGGCGTGAAAGTGCAACGCAGTGGAAGCAACGGACCTAGCAGAACCTGTGACTTTTCAAGGCGCGATCAATGGTCCTGATCAAGCTCACTGGCGAAATGCTGTGAAGGCGGAACTCAAGTCGATGCATCTTCGTGGAGTTTTCCGTGCGGCAAAACTGCCAAGAGGCCAAGGCGCGATCGGCACCAAGTGGGTGTTCAAGATCAAGCGCAAAGCGGATGGATCGGTCGAGAAATACAAGGCGCGTCTCGTTGCCAAGGGCTTCAAGCAGAAGTACGTCATCGACTACACAGAGACGTTCTCGCCCGTGGTCAAGTACGTGACACTGCGTATGGTGATCGCGATCACCAAGTATTTCGACTGGCCACTGGACCAACTCGATGTGGTGACAGCCTTTCTCTACGGAGTGATGAAGGAGAAGGTGTACTGCGTGATACCAGAAGGCGTCGAGATGGATGGCGACTTCGACTGTCTCGAGTTGGTGAAGGCGATCTACGGTCTCAAGCAAGCTTCACGTGTGTGGAACGAGAATTTCGACGAGTTCGTATGCTCTATCGGTTTCGAAGCGTCGGCGTTCGACCCATGTCTCTACATCAAGGTTGTCGACGGTCACTGTGTGCTCGTGCTGGTCTACGTGGATGACGTGTTGGTCACCGGCAGCTCGCTCGAGTTGATTGCGCAGACGAAGGCCGACCTCAAGACGCGTTTCGAGATGACCGACAGTGGTAAGTGTACTTTTGTACTGGGCATCGAACTGGTGGACGAATCGGATGGCAGCGTGACGATGTGCCAGCTACGGTATGTCAACGACATCCTCAAGCGCTTCGGCATGGATGAGTGCAAGGCCACAGCAAGTCCGGTCGACTTGAGCACTCGGCTTGTCGCAAGCAGCGAAGCGGCCAAGATCGACGTTCCGTTTCGTGAAGCTGTGGGAGCTTTGATGCACTTGACGACTGCGACGCGCCCGGACATTGCGTATGCTGTGGGGTACGTCTCGCGCTTCATGGAGAATCCGCAGCAAGAACATTGGACGGCGGTGAAGCGCATCTTTCGTTACTTGCAAGGGACCAAGTCGCACGGACTCCGCTTCCAGCCAAGCGACAAGATCGACTTTCGTGGATACTCGGACGCGGACTGGGCCGGCGACCACACTGATCGCAAGTCGACTTCGGGTTACACTCTCATGCTGATGGGTGCTCCTGTGAGTTGGGGAAGCAAGAAGCAGTCAAGTGTGTCGCTGTCGACGAGTGAAGCGGAATACATCGCACTGAGTCTGGCCATCCAGGAAGGCAAGTGGGTGCAACGCCTGCTATGCGAGATTTTAGCGGCCGCAAATGTTGACGGTCATCGGTTTCTACCAGTATTGGTAACCGTGACCGGTCCAATCCGAACCGCCTGTTCAGCTTGGTATTTACGACGTAGTTCTTACGGTAATTACCATAGTTGATTAGACGCGTAGGATGATGAGACGCTTCACATGATTTATATGTGCACCACATATAAATCATGTAGTAAGTAGTAAGCCCCGATAATCAATCACTTTCCAATCTTCTATCTACCCCCAAGTGTCTTCTCCGGTCTTCCGAGTGGACTCCCAGCATCACTCCCAGTTTCGGTCGTCAAGCTTTACACCTATCAACAGGTTATGAGCCCAAGCACAATGGCCTCTGCTCATGATGCCACCACCAAGATCTCCATTGACAAGTTCGACGGCGACAACTACGCGACGTGGAGCCGCTACATGCGTGGCGTGTTCCTGACCAAGTCGGCGTGGCACGTGGTGAACCGGTATACCACCCCCACCTTCGCCGATCCTCGCGCCAGTGACGACTACGTCAAGACGAACAACATTGCGTTCGGCTTGATGCTTCTGCACATGAGCGCGGATTATCATCACGTGGTTGATGACTGTGAAGAGGCGTGGGTCGCGTGGGCGCGTTTGAAGACGCTGTACGGCGGGTCGCAGAAGGCTGGACGCATCTACTTGAAGCGCCAGCTGTTCAGCATGGAGATGGCGGAAGGCGGCAATGTGATGCATCATTGCAACGAAGTCCTCAACATCAGCGCGAAGCTCAGCAGCATCGGCGCCAAGATGGAGGACGAGGACGTGGCGATCTGCTTGTTGCGCAGCCTCCCCAAGAGCTACGAGAACGTCGTTCTCAACTTGGAGATGAGCAGCGCGGAACTGCGATCGCGAGACGTCGTGAAAGTGCTCACGAATGAGCACATCAAGAGGCAAGGTGACAAGACGACATCGGTGAAAACTGAAGAAGCGACCAAGGCCTTCAGTACCGAGCGTGAACCTCGCCAGTGCACATACTGCGGAAAATTGGGGCACACGGCGGAGCGGTGCTGGACCAAGCAGAAGGACGAAAATCAAGGTGGAGCTCGACGCGGCGGCAACAATGCTCGTGGACGCGGAGCCAACAACGTTCAGTGGCGAACCAACAACAACAACAACGACGACAACTACGATCGAGTTGCGTTCGCGGTTTCGCTGGAGGCTGGACTTTCGACGGGCAAGAATATGCCAGGGATGTGGGCAGTCGACAGCGGTGCGACGCATCACATCTGCAACGACAAAGCCAAGTTTGCAAGCCTGAATGAGCGAGAGGAAGGCGAACTATCAGTGGCTGATGGCAGCAAGGCTGCGATCAAGGGTGTGGGAACCATCATGGAACGGGTGGTTCTGCCCAATGGTGACGAACGCGACATCGAGATCAAGGACGCACTGTTCGTACCAAGTATGAGCAAGAATCTGCTTTCGGTGCCACAGATCAACAAGGGTGGCAGGTTCCAAGTCGTGTTCGATGGATCCAAGATGCAAGTGAAGCGCAAGAATTCCACACAAGTCGTGGCAACAGCGGATCTCGTCGATGGACTTTACTGGCTGCGGACTCCTCAACGATCGGCAAATGCAGCAACACGCAATGGGACTATCGACTTGCATGCGCGCATGGGTCATGCACCTCTCGAAGTTCTGCGCAAGATGGTGGCCACTGGCATGATCAAGGACGCCAAGGCACCTCTCAACTCGACTGGTCCAAGTGTGTGTCGCGGTTGCCAGCAAGGAAAAATGGTCCAAAACCCATTCCCAAGCAATCGTGACAAACGCCAATATGGTGTGTTCGAGTTGCTGCACTTCGACATCTGCGGGCCAATGGAACAAGTCTCGATCGGCGGCAGCAAATACTTACTGCTTGTGGTTGACGAAGCTAGCGGTTGCATGAAGGGCTTCTGTCTGCGGTCCAAGTCTGAGAGTGAAGACTGTATCAAGAACCACATCATCAAGATTCAAACTCAGTTCGGCACGAAGATCAAGTTTGTTCGGCACGATGGAGCGCATGAGTTTGCGACCAACTCCATCAAGACCTTCTACGAAGATCATGGTATCGAACAACAGATCACGGTGCCGTATGCACACCAGACCAACGGCACCGCAGAACGCGCGATAAGGACCATCGTCACGATCGGACGCAGCTTGTTGCATCATGCAAAACTGGAGAAGTGTTTCTGGGCTGAAGCGGCAATGACGGCGATCTACATCAAGAACCGCCTGCCTTCACCCAAGATCGACCACAAGACTCCGTTCGAAATCGTGTACAAGTCGAAACCAAGTGTCAAGCACATGCGCGTGTTTGGATGTCGGGCGTTTATCCTGACACCAAGGGAGAAGCGATTGAAGTGGGACCCGAAGGCTCGTGAAGGGATGTTCATGGGCTACGAAGAAGCGTCAAAAGCTTATCGAGTGTACGACATTGAGGCGGACCAAGTGGTGATCAGTCGTGACATCACCTTCGACGAATCGACTTTTGATTTTTCATTGGACCGACCAAGTGACGATGATGAAGATGCGGAGTTGGACCTCGACCTCCTGGCGATCAACGAGGACGACGTGCGTCAAACCGTCTACAAGCAGACTGGCAAGCGCAAGAGTGAAGCAAGACCCGGCATGTCACGTTCAGCTCGCCCTCGAACTGGGTTGGAACAAGCAAGTGCGCCGGCACACGTCTCCAACCGTCACCAGAAACGACGATCAAGTGCTCCAGAAACGATGTCTGATGACGAAGAAGATGCAAGCGTCTACGATCAAGATGACGACTCGACGCCTCCAACATTTTGGCGTGCAAGTGCAAACGCAGTGGAAGCAACGGACCTAGCAGAACCTGTGACTTTTCAAGACGCGATCAATGGTCCTGATCAAGCTCACTGGCGAAATGCTGTGAAGGCGGAACTCAAGTCGATGCATCTTCGTGGAGTTTTCCGTGCGGCAAAACTACCAAGAGGCCAAGGCGCGATCGGCACCAAGTGGGTGTTCAAGATCAAGCGCAAAGCGGATGGATCGGTCGAGAAATACAAGGCGCGTCTCGTTGCCAAGGGCTTCAAGCAGAAGTACGGCATCGACTACACAGAGACGTTCTCGCCCGTGGTCAAGTACGTGACACTGCGTATGGTGATCGCGATCACCAAGTATTTCGACTGGCCACTGGACCAACTCGATGTGGTGACAGCCTTTCTCTACGGAGTGATGAAGGAGAAGGTGTACTGCGTGATACCAGAAGGCGTCGAGATGGATGGCGACTTCGACTGTCTCGAGTTGGTGAAGGCGATCTACGGTCTCAAGCAAGCTTCACGTGTGTGGAACGAGACTTTCGACGAGTTCGTATGCTCTATCGGTTTCGAAGCGTCGGCGTTCGACCCATGTCTCTACATCAAGGTTGTCGACGGTCACTGTGTGCTCGTGCTGGTCTACGTGGATGACGTGTTGGTCACCGGCAGCTCGCTCGAGTTGATTGCGCAGACGAAGGCCGACCTCAAGACGCGTTTCGAGATGACCGACAGTGGTCAAGTGTACTTTTGTACTGGGCATCGAACTGGTGGACGAATCGGATGGCAGCGTGACGATGTGCCAGCGACGGTATGTCAACGACATCCTCAAGCGCTTCGGCATGGATGAGTGCAAGGCCACAGCAAGTCCGGTCGACTTGAGCACTCGGCTTGTCGCAAGCAGCGAAGCGGCCAAGATCGACGTTCCGTTTCGTGAAGCTGTGGGAGCTTTGATGCACTTGACGACTGCGACGCGCCCGGACATTGCGTATGCTGTGGGGTACGTCTCGCGCTTCATGGAGAATCCGCAGCAAGAACATTGGACGGCGGTGAAGCGCATCTTTCGTTACTTGCAAGGGACCAAGTCGCACGGACTCCGCTTCCAGCCAAGCGACAAGATCGACTTTCGTGGCTACTCGGACGCGGACTGGGCCGGCGACCACGCTGATCGCAAGTCGACTTCGGGTTACATTTTCATGCTGATGGGTGCTCCTGTGAGTTGGGGAAGCAAGAAGCAGTCAAGTGTGTCGCTGTCGACGAGTGAAGCGGAATACATCGCACTGAGTCTGGCCATCCAGGAAGGCAAGTGGGTGCATCGCCTGCTATGCGAGATTTTGGCGGCCGCAAACGAACCAGGACCGGACCTCGTCATCCGTGAAGACAACCAGTCGTGCATCAAGATGACGAAGAATCCGGTGAATCATGGCCGCGCCAAGCACATCGACATCAAGTACCATCACATCCGTGATGAGGTCAAGCGCGGTGAAGTGCAGCTCGAGTATTGCGAGACTTCCGTGATGATGGCGGACATCATGACCAAGGGACTTTCGGGACCTCGTCACAAGGACTTGACGACGGCTCTCGGCATTCGTGCGAGTTCGGATTGAGGGGGCGTGTTGACGGTCATCGGTTTCTACCAGTATTGGTAACCGTGACCGGTCCAATCCGAACCGCCTGTTCAGCTTAGTATTTACGACGTAGTTCTTACGGCAATTACCATAGTTGATTAGACGCGTAGGATGATGAGACGCTTCACATGATTTATATGTGCACCACACATAAATCATGTAGTAAGTAGTAAGCCCCGATAATCAATCACTTTCCAATCTTCCATCTACCCCCAAGTGTCTTCTCCGGTCTTCCGAGTGGACTCCCAGCGTCACTCCCAGTTTCGGTCGTCAAGCTTTTCACCCCTCAACAGCAAACGAACCAGGACCGGACCTCGTCATCCGTGAAGACAACCAGTCGTGCATCAAGATGACGAAGAATCCGGTGAATCATGGCCGCGCCAAGCACATCGACATCAAGTACCATCACATCCGTGATGAGGTCAAGCGCGGTGAAGTGCAGCTCGAGTATTGCGAGACTTCCGTGATGATGGCGGACATCATGACCAAGGGACTTTCGGGACCTCGTCACAAGGACTTGACGACGGCTCTCGGCATTCGTGCGAGTTCGGATTGAGGGGGCGTGTTGACGGTCATCGGTTTCTACCAGTATTGGTAACCGTGACCGGTCCAATCCGAACCGCCTGTTCAGCTTAGTATTTACGACGTAGTTCTTACGGCAATTACCATAGTTGATTAGACGCGTAGGATGATGAGACGCTTCACATGATTTATATGTGCACCACACATAAATCATGTAGTAAGTAGTAAGCCCTGATAATCAATCACTTTCCAATCTTCCATCTACCCCCCAAGTGTCTTCTCCGGTCTTCCGAGTGGACTCCCAGCATCACTCCCAGTTTCGGTCGTCAAGCTTTTCACCATTCAACACAAGCGTCTACGATCAAGATGACGACTCGACGCCTCCAACATTTTGGCGTGGAAGTGCAAACGCAGTGGAAGCAACGGACCTAGCAGAACCTGTGACTTTTCAAGACGCGATCAATGGTCCTGATCAAGCTCACTGGCGAAATGCTGTGAAGGCGGAACTCAAGTCGATGCATCTTCGTGGAGTTTTCCGTGCAGCAAAACTACCAAGAGGCCAAGGCGCGATCGGCACCAAGTGGGTGTTCAAGATCAAGCGCAAAGCGGATGGATCGGTCGAGAAATACAAGGCGCGTCTCGTTGCCAAGGGCTTCAAGCAGAAGTACGGCATCGACTACACAGAGACGTTCTCGCCCGTGGTCAAGTACGTGACACTGCGTATGGTGATCGCGATCACCAAGTATTTCGACTGGCCACTGGACCAACTCGATGTGGTGACAGCCTTTCTCTACGGAGTGATGAAGGAGAAGGTGTACTGCGTGATACCAGAAGGCGTCGAGATGGATGGCGACTTCGACTGTCTCGAGTTGGTGAAGGCGATCTACGGTCTCAAGCAAGCTTCACGTGTGTGGAACGAGACTTTCGACGAGTTCGTATGCTCCATCGGTTTCGAAGCGTCGGCGTTCGACCCATGTCTCTACATCAAGGTTGTCGACGGTCACTGTGTGCTCGTGCTAGTCTACGTGGATGACGTGTTGGTCACCGGCAGCTCGCTCGAGTTGATTGCGCAGACGAAGGCCGACCTCAAGACGCGTTTCGAGATGACCGACAGTGGCAAGTGTACTTTTGTACTGGGCATCGAACTGTGGACGAATCGGATGGCAGCGTGACGATGTGCCAGCGACGGTGTGTTAACGACATCCTCAAGCGCTTCGGCATGGATGAGTGCAAGGCCACAGCAAGTCCGGTCGATTTGAGCACTCGGCTTGTCGCAAGCACCGAAGCGGCCAAGATCGACGTTCCGTTTCGTGAAGCTGTGGGAGCTTTGATGCACTTGACGACTGCGACGCGCCCGGACATTGCGTATGCTGTGGGGTACGTCTCGCGCTTCATGGAGAATCCGCAGCAAGAACATGAACATTGGACGGCGGTGAAGCGCATCTTTCGTTACTTGCAAGGGACCAAGTCGCACGGACTCCGCTTCCAGCCAAGCGACAAGATCGACTTTCGTGGCTACTCGGACGCGGACTGGGCCGGCGACCACGCTGATCGCAAGTCGACTTCGGGTTACATTTTCATGCTGATGGGTGCTCCTGTGAGTTGGGGAAGCAAGAAGCAGTCAAGTGTGTCGCTGTCGACGAGTGAAGCGGAATACATCGCACTGAGTCTGGCCATCCAGGAAGGCAAGTGGGTGCATCGCCTGCTATGCGAGATTTTGGCGGCCGCAAACGAACCAGGACCGGACCTCGTCATCCGTGAAGACAACCAGTCGTGCATCAAGATGACGAAGAATCCGGTGAATCATGGCCGCGCCAAGCACATCGACATCAAGTACCATCACATCCGTGATGAGGTCAAGCGCGGTGAAGTACAGCTCGAGTATTGCGAGACTTCCGTGATGATGGCGGACATCATGACCAAGGGACTTTCGGGATCTCGCCACAAGGACTTGACGACGGCTCTCGGCATTCGTGCGAGTTCGGATTGAGGGGGCGTGTTGACCGTCATCGGTTTCTACCAGTATTGGTAGCCGTGACCGGTCCAATCCGAACCGCCTGTTCAGCTTAGTATTTACGACGTAGTTCTTACGGTAATTACCATAGTTGATTAGACGCGTAGGATGATGAGACGCTTCACATGATTTATATGTGCACCACATATAAATCATGTAATAAGTAGTAAGCCCCGGTAATCAATCACTTTCCAATCTTCCATCTACCCCCAAGTGTCTTCTCCGGTCTTCCGAGTGGACTCCCAGCATCACTCCCAGTTTCGGTCGTCAAGCTTTACACCAACCAACATTGTCGTCATACGAAATGTAGATTCGTGTAGTTAGATAAAGACTAAAGTTATATTGATAGCTGAACTATATGAAATACAGTTCTCTTTTACCCTTTACTCAGCTTAGTTGTTGAGTAGATAAGCTTCCTCTGCACGCACTTGTACGTGAAGTTTTGCGTTACCTCAAACAATGGGTGCCCCTTTACACCTGGTAGCACTTCGTAGTCCGTCCAACGACTACTTAGTGTCCGCCCAACGTGTTCATGTTGGACGGAGAAGACGACAGCTTTCACGTCCCACGAGAAGGCTACTCCCATCTGAGTGACTCATATTATATGATAGTCGGCCGCATGAGTGTGCTCATGGGCGAACCCGCCATCATTGGCAAGTTGAAGTTTTTAAGCATAGGCTAGCAACATGCCGCTATCAACAAGTTCCTACAAGAGGAACTTGCCGTCGAGCGACAGAAGGTAGCCTTGCTACAACAGCAAGGCTCTCATCAGCCGATGGGCGGGCCGACGCACATTTTCGTCGACCCGAAATCTTGAAGATTGGTATTACAAGGTACAAGGGAACCGATGAAAAATCCGTTTTGAGATGGTTCGTCGAGTTAGACGACGCCATCAGGGCCCGTCACATCGAGAGTGACGAGATGCAAGAACCTTCTCCCTGTAAAACTTGACAGTACGAGCAAAGACCTGGACCTTAGGGCTCAAGCTTCACGACCCAAACGTGTTCGAGTCGTTAAGATCTTATGGTCTCGGCTTAAAGAGACTTGTAGCCGCCAAGAGCCGAGTCCAGAGCACGCTCTGCACTCTTCAGGCTCAAGCAAAGTAAGCGTGATGTGCATGCTTACGCCCAATACCTACGCTACCTTGCGAGTAGCGTCACGGAAAGCCCTGTTGATGAGCACACACTCATAAACGTGTTCATCTACGGCCTTGTAGATGGGCCGGTGAAGACCTGCATGTTTCGAGAGGACTCCTATACGCTGGAAAAGGCGATAGCGTATGTCGAACAAGAGGACTTCAGCCTGAGACATTTTCAGGCTAACTCGTCAAATTATCGTCCGAAGAGACGACAGGAAACAGGAGGTCTCGAACCAATGGATCTCTGTTACATCGAGAGCAAGAACTCTCGCTCTCTGAGTCACAAGTGAACGTCAAGATGCCATCACTGTCAGAAAATTGGACACTACGCTCATGAGTGTAGTGTCCCAAGCACCGCTACACGTCCAAAGACAGGACATGGCGACCACCGTTGGCCAACGAAAGGTCCAAGGCGTAAGTCCGACCGTGTCGCTAAGCCGTGACAGCAAGTCGGACCGCCAAAAAACGGACAGGGTCAGTAGGGGCGGAGCACCCTGCTGATCCAGCAACGTCAAGAGAATCTGTAGGACACTTGACGAAGATTTCTCCCAACACACAGTCGCTGTGTGTTACTGCCCATAGTGATGAGGGGCACCTCATCACTTTGAAGATCAAAGTGACAAGTGGAATGTCACTTCGCGCCCTAGTTGACTGTGGGGCGTCGAACAGTTTTATTCGACGCCAGTCGCTGGAAAATAGTAGGCTTAACTATGTTGAGCGATGGATCCCTCCATCGAGGATGACGGTGTGCCTTGCTACAGGCGCGTCCGTTACAGTGAACAAACGTGTAGTAGGAATACACTACACGCTAGAAGGAAAGCAGTACGATGATGACTTCATCGTACTGGATTTTGATGACAAATTTAATGTCATTCTTGGTCTGTCATGGCTTGGAAAGTACCAGCCATGGGTCAGCTGGCAGTATCGATCCGTGAAGATGCATGCCGTTTGTTCAAATGTTCAGATGGCCATCTGATGAACGTCTTGGAGCGTCCACAAGCGTGTGAATGTACTACAAGTGAGTGCGATGGCCTCACTTGTGAAACGGTCGTTATTCCGACTAAAAAGATTACAATGTAGAAGGCCACTACACTGTGGAACCAGCTTCCGGCACCTGTGTAGAGACACAGGCTTCGCTAAAAGTTCACCACTCGAAGAGATCTAGTGGACTGGAACACGAGTGCATACCAAGAAAAGTGCATCCGAGAAGAGAGATTAGTGTTGTTCAGGATGAACAACTCGTTGAAGCGAGATCGACTATCAGAGAGTCGATTGTAGAGCAAGCCCGATCGACTGAAAGAGAGTCGATGGAAGAAGACATGACGGTGGTAGTAGAACCACAGTCAGTACACGTATTGGAAGAAAGTTCCAGCGTTCCTGAGAGTGATAACTCTCGAGAGAGTTACGCTAAGATTAAGTGTAAGCGCCTATGCACTCGATCTGGTTACACCTCTATTGTGGGTTGACGGTTGAGGTACTGCTATCAGCTACCATGGGAACCGTAAACCTGTCCAAGTCGATCCCGCGTAATTACGGTGAGTTTTTACCAATGATTAGACGCATAGGATGATTGGATGACCTACATGATTTATGATTCATGATTTATATGTGGACAACATATAAATCAGTGCAGAGATAAATCAGGTAGCTTTAACAAAACCCACAAATAAATTCACTTCCAAATATTCCTTCTTCAGCACAAGTCGTCTACACTTCGCATTGCAGACTTCTTCAGCGTTCTTCAAGCTTCGTTCTCTCGTCCAGTGCTCTTCAGACTTGAACAGGTTATGAGCCCAAGCACGATGTCCTCTGCTCATGATGCCACCAAGATCTCTATCGATAGATTCGATGGAGACAACTACGAGACGTGGAGCCGCTACATGCGTGGCGTGTTCCTGACCAAGTCGACGTGGCACGTGGTCAACCGGGAGACCACCCCCACCTTCGCCGATCCTCGCGCCAGTGATGAGTACGTCAAGACGAACAACATTGCGTTCGGCTTGATGTTACTTCACATGAGCGCGGACTATCATCACGTGGTTGATGATTGCGAGGAAGCATGGGTTGCGTGGGCGCGGATCAAGACACTGTACGGCGGATCTCAGAAGGCTGGTCGCATCTACTTGAAGCGCCAGCTCTTCAGTATGGAGATGGCGGAAGGCGGCAATGTGTTGCATCATTACAATGAGGTCCTCAACATCAGCGCAAAGCTGGCTAGCATCGGCGCCAAGATGGAGGACGAGGACGTTGCGATCTGCTTAATGCGCAGTCTGCCCAAGAGTTTCGAGAACGTGGTTCTCAACTTGGAGATGAGCAGCGCGGAACTGCGGACGCAAGACGTCGTGAAAGTGCTGACGAATGAGCACATCAAGAGACAAGGGAAAAAGACGACATCGGTGAAAACTGAAGAAGCGACCAAGGCCTTCAGTACCGAGCGTGAGGTTCGTCAGTATACGTTCTGCGGAAAATTGGGGCACACGGTGAAAAAGTGCTGGACCAAGCAGAAGGAAGACAATCGGGGAGCTCGACGCGGCGGCAATGTACGTGGACGCGGAGCGAATCAAGTTCAGTGGCAAGGCTACAACGGCAACAGCAACTGTGACTATGATCGAGTGGCGTTTGCTGTTTCGCTGGAATGCGGACTTTCAACGACCAAGAGCATGTCTGGCATGTGGGCGATTGATAGCGGTGCAACACATCACATCTGCTATGACAAGTCCAAGTTCGAATTTCTGGACGAGCGCAATGAAGGCGAAGTGTTGGTTGCAGATGGGAACAAGGCTGCGATCAACGGTGTCGGGACAATCATCGAAAAGGTGACCCTGTCCAACGGTGAAGAGCGCGAAGTCGAGATCAAGAACGCGCTTTACGTCCCAAGCATGAACAAAAACTTGCTTTCGATACCACAAATCAACAAAAGCGGCAAGTTTCAAGTGGTGTTTGATGGTGACGAGATGAAGATTTCGCACAAAGGCTCCAAGCAAGTAATAGCGATGGCCGATCTTGTGGATGGCCTCTACTGGCTTCGTACACCCCAACGATCGGTGAATGCGGCTTCAGGACCAAGAGTCGAAAACCTTCATGCGCGTACGGGCCACGCACCGATTGATGTCTTGTGCAGAATGGTCTCCAAGGGCATGATCAAGGATGCCAAGAAGCCAGCAAAATTGAGCGGATCAAGCGTGTGTCAAGGTTGTCTAGAAGGAAAAATGGTTCAACGACCGTTCCCGAGCAATCCAAACAAGCGCCACTACGATCCGTTTGAGCTTCTACACATCGACACTTGTGGTCCAATGGAAGTCGACTCGCTAGGTGGAAGCAAGTACGTGCTACTGATCGTCGATGAAGGCAGCGGATGTATGAAGGGTTTCAGTCTGCGCGCCAAGTCCGACAGCGAAGAGTGCATCAAGAAGTACATCATGGCAGTACAGACGCAGTTTGACTACAAGGTCAAGTTCGTTCGACACGTTGGTGCACGAGAATTTGCGGCGAATTCGCTCAAGGCATTTTACGATGATCAAGGAATCGAGCAGCAAGTTACCGTTCCGTATGCGCATCAGACCAACGGCACGGCGGAACGGGCAATTCGGACTATTGTGACGATCGGGCGCAGCATGCTTCACTACGCCAAGCTGGACAAGTGTTTTTGGGCTGAAGCAGCAATGACGGGAATCTACATCAAGAATCGCCTACCATCGCCCAAGTGCCAAGATCAAACATCGTTCGAGATCGTCAACGGTTTTCGACCAAGTGTGAAGCACATGCGGGTTTTCGGCTGCCGAACGTTTGTGCTGACCCCTAAGGAAAAGAGATCGAAATGGGATCCGAAGGCTCGTGA